ACAATTTAACTAACTCCATGGAGTGCTACGGGTGACCGTCCCACATATTCAAGCAAGACGGGGCTTACTCTACAGTAATAGCATTCACTAATTGTTTTCAGCCTAGTCTACCCACGTGAGGTGCTAACTACTTCTGTGGCTGATTTTCCGGTTTGATGTTATTGCACCGTTTTATAGTTACCTCCGTTGCCTTCCAAGAAATATTCTTTAATTATCGCGTTTATTGTCCATAGTTGTCTCGAACCAATTTAGCTACGTGGCCAGTCATCTGAAACATTGTTCAGTCACTTTCGCGCAATAATAAAAATGCTGCCAATGATTCTGGAGTAAGTTACACATTTTGAGAAAAACCAGAATTCTTCGTTAAGTTGCTGCTCTTGTCTTTTTCAAAGATAAGGGGGCCTTCCATACGGAAGCTAAATTTAGTCACAGTGGCTTCTACGGCTCAAGTTTATAGTGGCAAGTAGATCTATTTTTGGGGGGGTTATCAACACCGACCTGCAGATCATGACACCCGCCGGTATTCACCCAGCGATGGAATTAAATGGCGATGACGATTGATCTTTCATTTCACTCAATGCGTGATAGAGACCTGCACTTTCGCCATGCAAGACCTTGACCTCTAAAGAGTGATAAACATGCGAACTTCAGTCCGAGCTCCGCAAACAAGCCAAGCGCAACGATGCTTTGTACGTGAGGTTAAAAAGTTGCGCTACTCCGGTTTTGAGAAGAAGTAGTTTTATCTGTAACGTTTGATTTGTTACCTTATCATAGAATTTGGACAAAACGTTTTAGATAAAATTTGAACACATCTTATTTCGTTGCAGTGCACAAGTGGATAACTGGCCTCTTTTGTGATCCGTGATCATGGTACTGGTTACTGATCCATCCAGTAGATAAAGACCGTTATCATGACTACAGAATTAGTTGCATCTCCTGTAATCGGAGGTGTAATCAGAGGTATAATACAACAAAGTTCGTGAACATCATGATCTACAACACTAGAAGTAAAACATGTCATATCATAAAAAAGTAGATGTTAAATAGATTTTGGTTAATGAGTTAAAACAAAAGCATAGAAATCCAAGAATAAAAGCGGAGACTAAGTGATATGATTATGGTTAGAGATCATAAGCACAAAACTATATTTACTAGAGGACACTAACATTAATGTTGAAAAGTTTACTTTATTGAATTTCGAGTTGAGATGTATCATGTAGTACATTCAAAGTTAGATTACATGAATATTAGATATATATAACTCATAGGTGATAAAAATTAAGTATCTAATATAAATAAATTTGAAATAAAATTTTGTGAATGTGTTATGGGTAAGCGTCATACACAACTCTTTGGTTTTGAAACTTAAAGTTCCAAGTAATTCAATGAAGATATACATAAAGACGTGTGAGCACTCTCTAAAAAAGTCTCTCTTTGGAAAGTTTGATTAGGTATCATTTATTGATGATTATTTAAGGTTTGAGCGGATTTATTTCCTCACACACAACTTTGAGTTGTTATAAATTTCAGAAGTTGAAACGTTCAAGTTGAAATTTAAACTGTACACAATCTAAAATGTTTTTGTACGTATAATAGTGAGAAGTATACTTTTGAGTAGTTTGAAGTTACTACAATCAAGACAAAAATTACCTGTCGACTCACCACGGTGTAACTCTGCAACAATTGTTGTTCTAAAAGAGTAAAGCAAACAAATGTTGGAAAAGTGTGTAGCTTGTTGAGCCAAATCTAGTTTGACATATGAATTTTGCATTGAATATATCAACAACGCAGTGTACTTGATAAATTTTTCTTCTTCCAATGCAATCAATTATTTGACTAAGTATGAACTAAGTAACAAATTGATTGTTGATTATAACTATTTGAAAAATTGTGATTGAATAATTTATCATCTCATAACTAAAAACAAATCGTACCAAGTTGGATCATACATTCAAAAAGTGTCACTTTCTTGGATATGATAGAGTTTGGAAGTATTATAGGCTATATATTTTAGTAACTTGTAATTTTTTGTCGACAAGATATTTTTTTCAGAACATATAGATCATTGAAAAAGATCAAGAGTTTTTTATCTTAATACAAGTAAAACTTTCCACTCACGGAGATTGATCATTATGTGATTTAATAAAAAAATTCTAAAAAGCAAAATTAAAAAGAAATTTTTATAATTGATGAGTCTAAAGCATTTGCACTATACAATAAAACTCAACCATAAGTTTCCAATTAAAAAGTAATTGAATCGGATTGATAGAATTGCTGCATAGTTATGATTAGAGATTACTCTATTGTTGAAGATTGTGATATTGAAATAATGGATTATGATGGTTTTGAAATGATATTGGAAGAAAAAAAATCTAATCATTACAAAACAGTTCAAGATTAGGTCAATAAGATTGAGTGTATGTTACGATAGAACGTGAAAATAAGTTGTCGATTGATAACAAGACTTGATAGCTACTAGAACTTCTAGGAAATCAATCTTTTGATTTATTGCAAGTGAATCTACAAGCTGAAGAATAATATGTTTATCAATAATTCAAGAATCATACAAACAATAAAACAAGAATGAAAATTTAACACAAATGAACACAAAAATGTAACTTGTTTCATCACTAAGAACTACGTACATGGATTGAAAACGCAAAACAACGTGAAAGCAAATAAAAATTGTAATATCAAATATTTTATATGTGAAATAAAACTAGAGGTAGCCAATAAATTAATCTTGGTAACTGTTTTTATGACTAAATCTAGTTAGTTTCGATTAGTCTAGCTAGTTATAACTATTTTTAACTTTAATATTTCATTTGGCAATAAAACTAGAGAAATTCTAGAAGATTTGAATGAATTAATTTTTTTTTTAAAAAAATAAATTTCAAGAAAAAATACTTTTGACTTCATATTTAGTTTTGATTGGTTTGATTTAATAATGAGAATTTATTTGGCTATACTAAGTCTAATGTCGACCGAGTGGCAAGTGGTAATTCTAGAAGTTGGAAAAGTATAAATGTTATGTCGCCGTATTAATCTAAAGATTTGTAAACATCTAGAAGGTATAGGAGACTAATGACATGTTAACAACTTGATAACTAGTTAAACTTAATATGATTTATTTTTGTAAAAATAAATTAAATAAAAATTACCATTTTTTAGTATGGTAAATTTTCAAATAATTCATATAGAGAGATAAGAATAAGACTTTCAAGCAAATTTTGGGAATTTATGTGTAGAAACTTCTTTCATATATGAAAGAGAGATTAGTTTTAGAATCTTGGAATGGCGATATGTTATAAATTTGAGTGATAAATTGAAGTATTGTGTGAAGTGTTGTTTGGGTTATAAGTAGATATCACAGTTTTCTAGAACCATGATAAATTACAATAAAACCATCTGAGTCTTTTATTGTGAAGATGAGAAACATAAAATGGTAAAATTTTTCCTTATAGAGCAAGAAGATAAGATCGAGTAATCTGAAAAACTTGAGAGATTTAAAATTTTATTTAGAATTATCATTGTTACATGAATCTCAAAGCTTAAACTTCTATTACAATTATGTAGTGATTGGAGTAACGGCAGGACATGAATACAACGGAGTATTGACACTATTCAAACCACTTGTGAAAGGTATTGATGTCAAATATAGTGTAGAGACATAGAAATTGATCTCGACTAATTAAATTTAATTGAAGATGGAGATCATCATTTTGATAGTGGAAAAGATGATGATAAGTGTAAGACTCATGATATGTTTATTGAAAGAAATAACTAAAGTTAATTTGCATAAGTCAATTCTTATCTGTTTCCTTTGATAAATTTAAGTACGGAGTTAAAAGTTATTTTAATTGTATTAGAAAGTAACATATAAATTTCCAATAGAAAAATTAAAAAAATTTGAAAATATAGAAACTTCCTATATTTTACAGAAGTAAAAATGAGGATGTAAAAATTTTTGTAAAGACTTCAAGAATACTAGTATTGGATACATTGAGATGAAGAAAAACAAATTGACTATGTTTTTGTCGGGTTTTTTGGAAGATTAACCTCTCAAGTGATACAAAGAGTACAAGAATAAACATTTGGAGTAGTAAAACTTGAAGACATTGACGTAGAACATGATTGAAATTTTTTTCTCAATGAAAGTTATAAAAAGCTGATTTATGATATCAACTTTTTGAAACAAGGGGACAACAAGAAGATGATATTTTAGGTGGAGATAATCAAACAGTCAAAGTCAAGATCTACTTGATATTGAGTATAGTTAGAGACAAAACAGATTATATAATGGTGGGGATAAGTACGTAGTGGACGATGCTCACGAAGAATTTCATTGGATATTTGAAACGAATAGTTTGAAGTAATGTGAGATATGAGAATCCTTTTTCTAAAGGGGAAAACATTCCAATTGCTATTAAAATGGAAAAAAAATCAAAACATAACAATTTTAACTTGATGGCTAGAGAAGTAGCTCTTTATGTTCTAGTAAAATTCATTGTATCAAATCTTACTAGATTTTTCACAATAACTTCTTCCAACCAATTCACAACATGAGTTGAAATCTATATCGGAGATTCTAACTAAACTCAAGATCGATATAATAAAGTTGTAGAAAAAAAGAATCGAAATATAAAGTAAGACTCTGGGGTATAGAAATAATCTACAGAGCCAAGTATAAAGAATTTGTTTCTATTCATCAATTCTCTCATCAATGCATTTTGGAAAAAAAAAACTTGAACTCAATGGTGAATATACTTGCACATCAAAAACTCGATTAGCTATAATGGACTTGAATCTCGACCATGTGTTGTAAAACATGACATGGTTGGGCTCTTAATCTCGACTAGGAATTAAATGATCGCACAACAAGCAAAAAATTTGAACGTCTCACTTTCGATCGAAGAAAGATTTTGCATCTCCAAATGGAATTCTTCCCGACTTCCAATCATCTAGCATTTTCTTTTTGAGTTGGCAATACTTAAGCTGTATGAATTTACTTGACGAATGACAAGAGTTGATTTGGTATCATTGTGGACTACAATATTTACTAAATTTGCCGAATAGTATATTGAATGTGGATACATCAATCAACAATTTTAAGTGAAATGGATCATTTTGTTGGTGTAGCAACTTGGTCAGATCAACACATTCTACTTCTTTACACTCCTGTATCGCGAAAAGTACTATCCCCACTTCAATCCACACTATTCTACTCCATTGTTGTAGTGACCGGGTCCATGAACGTGTACCTTTCCATTAGCCCGCAACTTATCATGGTGATTGGGTTCCACGCATCGGTACAGTAGAATCTGCCAGACACAAAACAAAATCGTTTCATTAAGTGTCTTCCTCCAAAATTCCAAAGCCAGACGCTATGGGAATTCATAACGATCTCTTCAAATGAAACTATGGCATCTAAGAAAGTGATCCACCACCCCCTCCTTTAAGGCTTGACTTACGACGCTACATTACAATCAATTCCGAAATCTGCACATCACTCAATGATTTAACCAAATCGTTCCCGAAGTATGGAGTTCCTCATTGAGTGGATCGAACGCTATGGTACACTAATATAGGTACATGTGTTTGTCAGAAAATTGAATATGTGAAGTAGCTTAGCATTTCATACTGAACTTAATGCTAAGTATGCGGCGATTTTACCTGGATTTTTCCTTATTTGAAGAGTTAGTTTAGTATGATCCCTTTAATTCGGTCCATCGCAACAACAGAACTGAACTTCAAATGCCATTCCATCCCACCAAATTCTTGTAGTGTAGATTCTTTCATTACCATTTCGCCTCGTGCCTGCCAGAACTTCGACAGTACATAGTGCAAAGTGTATTCCTCTCTTAGGACCTGTACTTCCATGTTCTCAGCTCTCTTCAACCAAGAAGCTCCTGTTGAAGGGCTCGATGTCGAAATTAACAGTTCAACCATTCCTCTTCGTTCCCCAAAAGCTTTGCCCGCCACAAACTGATGCCAAGAAAGTTCTTAGTTGCAATTGCTGACGTTACAAAAAACTGTCAGTAAATTCCATCCGAGCGCACTCCGCATTGTTAGCCCTGATGGTCTTACCTTACAGAGATGCTGGATTGTCATCTGTGGTGGACAGCAAAGATATGGCTTTTCAAGGCCAAGGAACACATCCACACCATCGGAGAGGTTCACCAAAGGTCTCAACTGAAGGTGAATTACATACTGCAGTGCATAAAGATCCAATGTCATGTCATTCAAGCTTTTAGCGGAACCGCGGTTCCATGAATTCAAAATCTTTACGAGATTCAAAGCTAGCATGAACGTGACAGTCTAAATATCACCTCATCATCTTTTTCTTTTCGTGATTTTGCAGCAAGGTGATTAAGAAGTGTTGATGCTCGGCTGCACATTTTTTCCCTTTTTGAAGATTTCGCTTGCGTTCTCCTCACACTAGGAATTTCTCCATGCACAGTGGACCCACATGTCACAACCTTCGCTTGCGTTTGACCTTCTTTACGTGAAGAAATTCCACTCTCATAAGCAAATTTCGGTCCTCCATGGCCATTTTGACTTTCGTACCGAGATCGAGATCCTTCTGCTGTCCAATTCTCCTTGTCATGATCATGATACTCATCACACATTCTAACACAATCCAGTTGAAGCAAAGTAATCGAACCACCATTGCCCAGAAGTCCATCATCTGTTGGAGTAGGCGAGATCTCCATGGCTTTCCCCCTTTGATTCTCTTTAGAGGGCGCTCCCATCACTACAAGTTCTCCACCGCACTTAGAAACTGATGAGCATTTCTTTCCCTGATGGTCTTTTTTCCTATCACTCTGAATCCTAACTTCTGTGCTCTTTGATATACCCGAATCTATGTCCTTTATCACAATCCGTTTCAATGAAGGAGTGGGTGTGAGGCTCGAGAATTCATCCTGATCGGCAAGCTCACTTAAAAGCTTGAGACCATGATATTGCTCCATTTCTACATCTGCCTCATTATTATCTAGATGGAGTATGTTCACATTCGTTCTGATTGACGATTTAGCCCCAGCATTGTTTAAATCTGGAACTACAGAGACATCTCTGAATCGCTCATCTTCACATCCAGCTCCTCTCGAATATGTGGCGATTCGTGTTTTTGAACCAACTGATTTAGGCCTCTTGAATCTTGCCACTGCTTCAGATTGGCGCTTGACGGCTTCCTCAATTTTCTTCTGTGTCTGTTCAGTCAGTAACAAGCATGGTTGAAACCGTCAAATCTCTCAAAAATCCCTTTTCTTCCCTCTAGATCTTTCAGTGAGCATGCTGACAGCTAGGAAATATCCTAACATTATACGCAACTTTGTGACTACTTGGCAATACGCCCTGGACTACACCAACTGTACATCTGCCACTCATCACTCATTACACACGTTACTTTCAAACCCAGATAGTGTTACTCTTTGAAATGAAAGAGCGACCCAAATACGAAAAAGGCGGAAAATTACGTTGGAGAGAAACGGCAAAAGAATTTGAGTTGTAAAGCACTGTTGGAGAGAAACGGCAAAAGAATTTGAGTTGTAAAGCACTGATGTCCTACAAGCAGATACAACGTTAACAATATCTTAAACTTCAGTACCTGTCTGTTGCTGATAAGAGTCTCCTCGAGCAAAGTGGATTCCTGAATTTATGAAGTTTATGTGGATCAGTATAGCTGGAAAAGCGTTTATGAGAAAGGTTTGACAAACGAGCTTTCAACTTTGCGATCAATTTTCAGCAAGGATCAGATATTTCTATTCTCTACCTCTTTCTGAAGTTTCTCTATGTCCGGAAACATCGCAGCGATAAGGGCATCAAAGTGGGGATCGTCCCTCAAAGACCTCCTGCTCGCGCAATGTGCGCGACATGTAGGGCATTCTTTTCTCCTGCGTGTAAAATTCAAACATTGATATGTATATACATATATATACTCACGTAACATAGTCTGAAGCTAACCTTGATCGATCCAAAATCAGATGCAGTTCACGTGCAGATCTAACAGCACTCTTTACATGAGACTTGCAGATTTTTCTTCCATGCCAATTCGAGGAAAGTTATGCATATAAACCGTAATGCAATGGAACGTAATCGATGAATATAAGCTTTGAACAAATAAAAATTGAACAGTCTGATTGAATCTCTTACATCACACTAAATGTCTAATTGCAATCCACGTAGTCGAGTCAGTCAAAATAACTTACCCAAGTCGCATAGCTTTATCAATGCATTCTCTGCAAAACCGATGAAGACACTCCATAACAGTGCGTGTGTTTCGGAGGATGCCTGCCCAGAATAAGGGACATTCAGATAAGAATCTTGTGTGCCAAAGGTAAGAGAGTCATACTCTATGCTATTCATTATCTCATATTGCATGTGGATAATACAAAAGTAACTCAGAGTTTGTTACAGTAAGCTCCAGATTGAAGCGTGGACCCTAATACTGTAACATGCCGATGAATTCACCGTCCTTCTATCTCAGACCTTGATAATGGACCGTAGAAAACCTGAAGTAAATTTTCAGCAATAACTCCTGGATTATCATGTTCTCACCTAGACAAATCGGGCATCGCATAAGCTCTTGAATATCTCGCGATCGATAAACCTTTGCATATCTGTAATCCAGTTCATTCACATGTGATTACCGTCAGTCTAGAACATACCGACTCGTTTGTCTCAGCTTCTTTAGAATGCCTAAGCATTAAAAAGATGAACGATCAAAGTGAAACCTCAAATATGAGTGACGGTACTTACGTCATCCGATGCTTCCCGCAATGTTTGGCTCGCCGGAAAGTTTCATTGCATCGAGACTCCATGACGCTGGTTCTTCTTCCCATATTTGGGTTTCGTTTGTCAGAAATGGAGTACCTCATCCTGAAAGCTCAAGTAATCCCAAGACGAACCTATGCTACTTTCTGACTGCCACAGTAGAAAACTCTCGCATCAAACCCTCAATCAGTAAATCATCTCATATACCCACAATTCCTCTTTCCCAATTTACCGGTACGGATACGCTCCTTTTTCCGCGGATTCCCTCACGTACTTCTAAAAGCTTCATGTGTAGGAAGAACCTCAACCCACTGCTGCGGATCGATAGCTGGACTCGAGTCACGCTTCTTGCAAAGCAACCCCGCTTCTGGAGAATATATGGACTTCCGGAGGCTTACGACGTCGCAAGTTGCAGATCGCAGGTCGTCATCAACGTGCCACAGAGCGGAGCTGACTCACGCTGTCCAACGAGGCGCCAGCGAATCGCGAAAAAAGGAAGGCCCATTGGTACAGGTCGAATGGGAAAGATGACTTGATCATTTGAGATACTATAAAGAATTGTGGGTTTATGTGTTTTTTCCCTGGGACGGATCAAACAGAGGGATCAAACGTATCAAACGGTCAGATGTAGGGAGTGAGAAGCCGAATCTGAAGGTGGGGATTGATGACGCATTGAAGTTTCCATATCATTCCTTTTGTGTAGGGATAATTTTGGATGCAATCCAGTAATAATAAGATACATGAAAAAAGTTTGCATCAGAATATCAAGCCAACATGTAAGTAGGCTTCACAACTTTCAAATTGTTTGTATCTTCATATTGTTACGTGGAATTTTTATTTCATTTCTTTGATTGCTCTTCTTGCTTCGAATGTTTCGCTGGGGAGAAAATTTACCAAAAAAACGATGAATCTTACTTGCTTGCGAGTTCATCCCATGCAGAATAGAGGTGAAGAGGGAACCCCAAGACGAAGGAGGATTTATTCTGCCCAACGGTTAAAAGACTCATTCCCTACTTGTCTCCATCGAACAGCTGCTAGATGTGGACGTGGAATTCGAGCTGGTGCAGAAACGATATCCTCAGACGTCCATCGTTTTCTCAGATAGTCCTTCTTCAAGACTCATGTATGAGTTGGTCTAGATCTGAAGCCAACAACTGCAGCGATGGATTCGCATTCCCATCTGTTCTGATTCTACTCGAGTCCCCATCATCTCGGTACACTCAAAAGCCCCCGACATGACACTCCCTCACTATAAGCGGAACGAAGCCACTGCTCCAGATACTTTAGATTCTTGTGAAGACTCTGAGGCACCGACGAATCGCGTCTCGTCTAATACACATATATTGCAGCTGTTTTCTGAATGGAGCCGTCTTGTGCTTTGCGTATGACAGCAGAATTTAGGTCTGGATACTGGAGCTCCTCTCTATCTCGGGAAGACTTACCCACAGATTTCGTAAGTCATCCGCTTTCTGTTGACTAATCGGAGCATATGATAATTGGTGTGAAAGGCCGTTGACACATCAGACGCAGTCACACAATCGAAAATAAAGAATTTAGATGCAGACACTAAGTTGTGTGCATGTGATAATCGGATCAAGATATTGTTTTGGGCTAGACGAGCAAGTCTTGTTCTGCAGGTACTGCTCGGGCTCGATTACTATTGATGTAACTTAATAAAAAAAGTCAGGTAGAAAACAGAGTCTCCAGTTCATCTTCAGATTGTACTTCTTTTGTAGAACTTTTAAATTTTTTTCTCATGTAATTGTACAAATCATAAATTAATGGAATTATAAAACTAACGAAATCTGAATCATCGTAAATTCAACATTATCAATCTTTTTTCAAGGTACGCGATGGAAACACAGAATAGCAATCAAAGATTCGAAATAAACGTAACAATCTAAATATACCAAAAATTTAAAAGTTGGAAATCCAATTTAAATGATATCATGATTTTTTCTTTTAAATTTTTTTATTTATTGTATTAGTAATAAAATACATCCATTATCCCTGCACAAAAGCAATGAGGTGGAAAACCTCACCATCATATGTGCGCAATGGAATTCTAACCACAAACTTAACATTGCCTTAAATAATCATGAGAAGAAAAATATAGATCGTGGTTGCCACCTTAACTTCTGTAATGAAATTAAAATGAAATGATCTTCGCGGGAAAGCAAGGTACAACACACCTTCAATTCAGTGTCAATGGTGGTCTAATGATGAATGAATCCCTCTTTCGCATAGAATATTTTTGTATCTGAGTATTATCATTTGTCAATCATGAATAAAAAAAGGGATAAATTGAATATGATGGCGTCTTTAATTCTCTCTGAACTTCGATGATGATATTCAGATCGCATGCGTGTCTGAACTGTAACGTCGACTAAATTCCAGACCAGAAGAAGGTTTATTTGAAAACATCAAATGCTGTAAGTTCTGATCTTATTGATCGCAGGAGGAAATATATACGTGAAAGCACAACTTTGAATGATACTCAGTATTCGATACTAGTGTGATTTGACAAGTTTTGATGATGAATCTTTCAAAAAAAATCTTCAAAATCAAAAAAGTGGAAAATTGAACATAAGCATATTGCAAGAGTAAGGTTCAGTCTTTAATCAAAAGTTGTTCACGTTATACACACTTGAATGACAACATCGGCCCATCGCACAAACGATTTTCGTGTTGAATTGTTAGATTGTGGAATGTGATGGTTCCACTCCTCGCCCTCTCCATAGGGTCCAGAGGTCCAGGCCTTCCAGACCAACAGAGAGGGCCATGTACATGTTCCTTGGACCAATAGGAAAGGCGAAGAAGGCGCTTACTCAAGTAATGTGAGATCGGTGGTTTCTGAGAATGGATCGATCTAGAATCGAAAGGAGATGCTTAAACTCCAATATTCTTGAGCCAATCGCCAGCCTGATTGAAATATGAACACATCAGACGGTTCTTGTTTCCACACCTGCTGTTGGGGTTCGGAAGAAGAAGCTACAGCTGTCTCCTTAATCCTTAATGCGAGAAATTTTGGATGATATACTTCGTGCAAGGACGTTATCTACAGCAAATTGCACTGTGAAGTCAGTGGGCTTCGCTGCCACCTTTCTCAAGTTCCCATGGCGGGTGATAGCGAGGATGACATGTAATCTGAATACCGACTTACTGGCAGAGTCTAGACATAATTGATGTGACTCCCAACGGGCAGTTCCGTAAAGTTGGCATGCTGGTGACCCGACTCTCGCTCACTTTAGACGTCTAGCAAAGAAGCTAGAAAATGATATAATTCAATGACTCTCTTAAAATCTTTGAAGAAAGGCCCTTAGGTTCCTGGCTCTGGTACTTTATTGGGTTCATTCTTAACCGTACTCGTCCGTGCACACTGATTAGATTGTTGTCCCTATGACTCCCGGTTGGAAAATAATCTTGAAGCTGAGAAGCTATAGTCAAACTCGTGTAAGAGGAAATTTATGTCAGGTTTGTAAATCTGACTTCTGATATGTTTCATTCCATCCATACCTTATCTTGATCTTGATTCGTAGTAGTACCTTGTATTCTGAATTTTGAAACATAAGTGGACCCATGTAACCAGCATACATCGATTGCATTGTTCTTGCTCCTCGAGCTTGATCCATATTTGTCAGTTGTGCACAGTGGTCTGCGTTAACATTTTAACCCTCGCTCAGTTCGGTCTTCATACATCTCTTACCTCATTCATCAGAAGCATGTCAAACACTCGCTATCTGGTTAATTTGCGTAAATGGGGATGCTTATGAATCGATCGCATCATGTATTAATTTACAAGTATTGTATCTTAGTTTGAATTTTTCTTAAATGTTTCTCATTTGAAGAAATTAATCTAGACTAGAGCCTCATCTACTTGTATCCTTGTACCTTTGCTGCACATCCCAAGATTGTAATGGAGTCTTAGATACTTTACTGGTACCAAATGATTCTCAAGGTGCACCACAAATACGTAGTCGTTTGGGCCTATAAAACCAGGCCAGAGTTTAATCCTGTAGCAACGCCATTGTGTCAAAGGCTGAAGTTATCATTTGGGTATGCAATTGCAACCAATTTTTTAATTTCCTTAACGCTTTCCGAAAAAAACACTTCAGAAAATATGTCAAGGAATTGGGTAAGCGATCAGTTAGGATCTACGTTTGGACCAACCGACGTAATGTCTTAGACTTAGACTGGTTGTCACACATAATCTTCATAGCTCTTACCAAATCTGCTAGTACAATTTTGATTCGTTCGTTTTAAAGAGATACCACACATTTAGCGTCAGTGTTTGAAGGAGCCATGGAGTGTTGTTCGTTTTGATAATAGCATCTCTGCGTAAATGAATAAGTATCCAACTGTAGATTTCCTCGTAGTCTGATCACCAGTCAAGTCGACATCTGAGAGACTATACTATGGTATGGAGACCTTCCAGTTTTGATTTAAGTAATTTTGAAATCCTAAATTACTTAAACGCATTCAAAAATCCTTCGTTTCACAAAAGTAGCATTGGGTACTGGTTCATATTTCACCATGTGTTTTGAAATTACGCTTAATTTAATACAATTTTATGGACGCAAATTGGACTCGTAGAGATAGCTGCCAAGTTTTTGGAGCAAACTATGCCTAAGTGTGGATATCTTGCGCACCTGCCTTAATATCCAGGTGTTTCATTATCAGATTAAGTACGATATTCTCCCACTAATAGAAGATTAAATATTGGCTTACGGTGTTCCATCTTAAACTCATTGATATGATATAAAACGTTAGATACAAAAATCGCTGCATGCAAATTCAACAACCACAATTGCTTCTCAGTAGTTTTACATTAAGTCTGAAACAATAATGGCTTGGAACGATCGTCTGTATATGACCACCAGGGCCTCTCTTCTCATGATGTAGTAGATCCTTGCTACTACGTGATAGTGTCGTCCAAATTGACTAATTGTTTTCACTTTCTATGATTCTTACGCATTTAAATCGACCTTTCGTGTTGGACCTTGTGCAATCCATGCTATGCAGGAACTCTCCAACTAGTAAATGTGACATTAGGCAGCTTTAGACCGGACATTTTTTTGAGTAGTTGACACGTATATACACTCTTAAGACCATCTACACTTTCATGCACATTGAGTGTGATATTAAAGATATTCATCCAACATTCATTTCTCGATGATGAACCTGTTGATGACATTGACCGATTTTTCACTGAAGATATAAGACATATACACTGGACCCAATATACAAAGAATATCTCAAGTCTTGCTACAAGTCTTGCTTTTTATACGTGTATGGATCTAGCTAAACTCAATTCAGCTTGAACATCTGCTGAATTCTTGTAACTTTGTCCATAAGTAGGTTGAAAGTTGTGCAAGACTTGTTGACATCATAGGAATTCAGTTATTCATGAGAGGCTTGCTGCCTTTCTTTACCTCGTTTAGACTTATGGCTTGTCAACACGAAGTGGTTTAAAAGATCACTCGTTTTAGTCTTCAGTGCCACTTTCCAAGCTTGGGCTTGGCTTTATTTATTGGGTACCTTTTTCTTTTTCTCCTACTACCACGAGTTTGCTGTAAGTGAGTATACTTAGATTAAGCTGTGTGCAGAGATAAAATGCTCTCGATGATGCCAATCTTCATCTCCACTTATTCCTCTAACTCCAACCGACAGTATTATACTTTTGATTGGGTTGAGAATATTCTTTTAGTTGGAAGGAATAATGCGTTACCCAACCTGTGGAAAAAAAAAACATTTTGGAGGACTTGGATATTGTTAATAATCCAAGTCCATAATCCATTCATGGATACACAAGGTGGTCTTTATCGGTTGAAGCCTTCTTTTTTATTCATCATGTAATGTCTAAGCTGTACCCTGGAGCGTGACAAGAAAGTTTCAAGATATAAATATATTATTGAGATAATTATATTAATTCTCCTTTTTTAAAGACTGAGTACAATCAAGAACCATCATGATAGATTATTGTCCACAAATGGACATGATCATAACTGAGTTCATGACATCAGGAAGCAGAATATATCATCTACTTTCGTGAGGGCACGCAAACCGAGTGAGTGTCTGAGTTCGGGGCTCGTGTCATCGGATTTGCGTGGGGGATGACACGGGCCGTTGCGACCCTAAGCAAGTTGTGCTTAGACGGTTTCGTTCCTCTGAGCATATCATTTTTAATATGCATATGCACATTTGGCATCACCAGACGCTTTGCGATTCGCTATCACGACGTTAAGGCTTGGAACATCGTCGAGAAGCAGGTTCACTGATTCCGTATGGACTAA